AAAACCGGTGGGGAATGATGAAGTTTTTCCACCAGTTCAATTGAAAACCGGTGGGAAAAGTTCTTAGCTTAAACTTAAACCAGCAGTTTTTGCCACCGGTTCACCCCAAAACCGGTGGGAAAAGTTCTTTTTGCCACCGGTTTAAAACCGGTGGCATATCTTTGACGGTTTGCCACCCCCCAAATCAAGAACGGTTCAAAGCCGGTGGGGAATGGGGGGTTTGAACCGGTGGGGATTGGGGTTTTTCGTCTAGTGATGACGGGTTAGTGGGTTCCCTGAACGGGGACCAGAAGACGGCTAGGGAGTGCTACCTCTCAAACGTTAAGCCGACTGCTATTGCAGCCGGCCATAACGAGGAGCCCATTGACCGTGATGACAAGGAAGCCGCGCCTGCTCCCAAAGCAACCGGCAAAAAGAGAAAGGCGGACCATCTAGTGGCCGCCAAAAAAGAGAAGCAATAGCAATCGCTAATCGGGGAACGATCAGAGGATCTCCGTCCCAAGCCAGCTGGTGATACTATTGATATTATTCTAGACGACAGCCATCCGGAAAGAACCGTAAAAGTGGGGACGGTTGCTTTTGCAAAATTGGGTGCAGACTTGCACCGGTTGCTGAAAGAATTCAAAGACATCTTTACCTTTGAAGTGGAAGAGATGCCAGGCGTCAGCCCGGATCTTGTTGTCCACAAACTTGTCGTGGATCCAAAAACGAAGCCGGTTAGGCAAAAGAAAAGGAACCACTGCGAGGAGAGATCTCAGGCGGCAGCCGCCAAGGTCAAGAAGCTACTTGATGCCGGGTTCATTCGGCAATGCTACTACCAAGATTGGGTAACCAATGTCGTCCTTGTCAAAAAGCCGAATGGGACCTGGCGGATGTGTGTTGATTACACAGACCTGAACAAGGCATGTCCTAAGGATAGTTATCCACTTCTAAAGATCAACAGTCTAGTCGACCCTACAGCCGGTCATGCCTTGATGAGCTTTATGGATGCCTACTCAGGCTTCCATCAGATACCCTTGTGGGAAAAAGATCAAGAGAAGACGACATTTGTCACTGATCAAGGGTTGTTCAGTTATACGGTGATGTCGTTTGGGTTGAAGAATGCGCCTGCTACCTTCCAATGGATTATTAATGCGTCTGGAAATTTCTTTCAAGCCTAAAAAGGCAGTGAAGGTTCAAGCGTTCGCCGACTTCATTGTTAAAATGAGAAGACCGGCACAGCCGAAAAATGTTGATCAGGTTTGGAAGTTATATGTAGACGGGAGCTCTACTATGAACGGTTGTGGTGCAGGCGTAATTTGCATATCTCCGGAAGGGGACAAATATGAATATGCACTACGGTTCAAGTTCCAGGCCTCTAATAAATGAGGCGGAGTACGAGGCCCTACTAGCCGGTATACGCATGTGTAAGGCGGCTAAGGCAATGAAAGTTGACGCCTGCTCAAATTCTCAATTGATCGTTAGCCAATTCAATGGTGACTATGAGGACACCCATCCGGCGATGATCAAGTATTTGCAGGCAGTCAAAGACGATGCGGGAACACTTGACGAATTCCATTTAAGTCAGATGCTCAGGTCAGAAAACAATCAGGCGGATGCATTGTCCAAACTGGCATCATCCGCCACTTGTGATACGCCTAGGTCAGTCTTTTGGGAGGTCATGGAAAAAAGAAGTATTGAGCATGATCCCACTGGAATTTTGTACCGAAGCTCTACTTGGATGGACCCTATCTGGGATTATTTGGTAGACGGCACCTTGCCGGATGCCCCTTCAGAAGCGGTAGCACTGAAAAAGCAAGCTTTAAGCTTTGAAATTTACAAGGGGGAGCTCTTTAGAAAGGGTTACCTCCAGCCGTTGCTGAAGTGTGTTACCCTTGAAAGGGGCAAAGAGGTTCTAGAGGATCTGCACTCGGGCTTTTGTGCATCACATATAGGCGGCAGAACTTTAGCAAAAAGGGTTTGGCGGCAGGGTTATTTTTGGCCTACTCTTGAGGCAGACGCCATGGAAATGGTGAAAAAGTGTGACAATTGCGAGAGGTTTGGCCGGCTCATACACCGTCCGGATACAGACCTGACGGCTATCTACAACCTGGTTCCATTTGCAAAATGGGTCATGGACATCTTGGGTCCATATACGCCTGCCACAAGCGGGCGGAAGTACATTCTAGTGGCTTTAGATTACTTCACCAAATGGGTTGAGGCAGAGGCGGTCAAGGGCATCAAGACAAAGGATGTCATCTTCTTCATTTGGAGAAACATCATCACCCGATTTGGGGTTCCTATGTCTATGGTCTTTGACAATGGCCCTCAGTTTGAAATGTGTACCCTCAAGAGCTGGTTGGGAGATCAAGGGATCTCACATTGTTTTGCATTCGTTGGCCGCCCCCAAGCAAACGGCCAAGTTGAAGCCTTCAACAAGCTCATCTCAGACGGCATAAAGAAGAAAATAGAAAGGGCTAGTGGCCTATGGGCAGATGAATTGCCTCATGTCCTTTGGACCATCAAAACAACTGAAAAAGGGGCAACCGGTGAAACCCGTTTCTCATTACATACGGCACTAAAGCCGTCCTGCCAATTGAACTTTATGAGCCAACACTCCGAGTCATGCTCTATGATGTAGAGGCTAATTGGGAGGCCATGTGTCTTGCATTGGACTCACTCCCGGAGCGCAGGGGCAATGCCGCCTTAAGTCATGAGATATACCATATGAGAATGACGAGGGCCTACAACAAAAGAGTACACAAACGGCCCCTCAAAGTGGGGGACTTTATGCTACAGAAAATGGAGGCAACTGGTAGAGAAAATGAGCAAGGGAAGCTAACCCCTAATTGGGAGGGCCCCTACCGAAATTTTGAAGAAGTTAGAGGCGGCACCTACCGCCTAGAAACACCAGACAGGCTGGCAGATAGCCAGAACCCGGAATGTAGATAACATGAAAAAGTACTACTTCTAGGGATTTGTAAATATTTTGTAAATAGAGTATATTAATGAAAAAGTACTTTATTTCAATTGTTTTTTGTACAAAGTCCCATGTGAAATGCACAATCGGGAAACTTCTAAGTCCCATGTCCAATGCACAACCGGGCAACTACCAAGTCCCATGTGCAATGCACAACCGGGCAACTACCAAGTCCCATCTGTGCAATGCACAACCGGGCACCCATTTGCTCAAATTGAGTAGAAGGCTAAGTACCTAACTTAATTATTCAAAAGGCTAAAGGCCAACATATTTTAAACCGCCTGCTCTAACCATGAGCAGGCATCCGACGACGCCCATTTGGGTGAATTCGCCGAAGAGATCATCTCCCTTCCGGGTGGTACATTGTTCTACAGGTCATAGACTCAAACGGCTTTAACCGGTTAGGTTAAAGATAACCTATGGTTGTTTGAATGGCCTATCGAACTCAAGATACACCCGGTCATTTCCCCAAGGTAATACAGACGGTGAAATAAATCTTGATCTGCAGCCGGCTTTTGCCAAAAAGCACTACAGCCGGCTCCAGCTTCCATAAACAAGGTCAAAACCTTGATAAAATCAAAAGACACCCGGTTATTGCCCCAAGGCAATATAGGCGATGAATTAAATCTTGGTCTGCAGCCGGCTTTTTCCAAAAAGCAATACAGCCGGCTACCATTTCCATTATCAAGGTCAAAACCTTGTCGCTTAATCCGCAATTGTTTAAAATGCATACGTCCGGCCACAGGCCTCCTGCATGCCAACCAACGGCATTTTCGGATACCCAAGGGGTAATCCTCAGCCGGTTAAACGTGTATTCTAAGTTTGATTTAGCCGGCATAGCCGGTAGATTCAATTTGGGATCAATTCTGTTTTAAAACGGTCAAGGACCGCCTATTCAATTCATCCGGATGGTTATGGACGGCTGCCTGCTTAGAGTTGGTAACTATAAGCAAACAACCATCCAGGGGTAGACAGGGCTAATGCATCTGGCATGTATCAATTCAAATTGCAACAAAGATTTCATTCAAGGCAAAAAATTGGAACAAATAATGGCAAAGAAAACCGACACAGTCGGCATATATATATAAATATTTCAAATTCAAATGTTAGCCGGACCCTTGTCCGGAGAAGAAGATACAAAATTACACGGCACGCAGGCCGGATGAAAGCAGGGTTAAAAAATAATAAAGCTACTGTTGTTGCTGCTGTTGTTGTTGTTGCTGCTCTAACGGCTGGTCCTGACCGGCAAGAGGGGCGCCTTGAGTTTCCTTCAAAATTTGAGTCAAGCAAGGTAGGGAGAACGTAGACTTAGATTTGACTGAAACCTCTATAAATCTATATGTTCTTTTATTGCTTGTCATCGTTTCATTGTTTGCATTGTGTGGATCCAGGATCTATTGTTCCCCTTACTCGAAATTTTTTACAAGAATGCTAGTTGTTCTCTTACTCAGTTAATTACCCCTCTTAATTGAGTACTAATTTCATTTTCAACTTTACAAAAATAAAATAAAAATAGGCAAAACGAGCCTTAATAGCACCACCTATAGACTTGGTGCAAAAAGTAGTATGCACGACCTATTGATGCGAGTAAGCTCCATAACATCAACTAAGGTCCTGTTCAATTCACCTTAAAAAAATAATATTCAATAAAAATAATTTCAGTTCAGTAAAAATAAATTTAGTTCGGTAAAAGTGATTTTAGTTCCGTAAAAATAATTTTCATTCAGTAAAAATCAGTACCTCTAAAGAAGAAATATAATGCAGAATCAGTAAAAATAATTTCAGTTCAGTAAAAATAATTTTAGTTCAGCAAAAATAATTTCAGTTCAATAAAATTAATTTCAGTTCAAAAATAAGGTGAAGTGAACGGGGCTTAAATATAAAATATTGGGTGACATAAATGACATCAGCAGTCAGAAAAATTGCCAAATTCTGATAATAAACCCTTGGTCCGAATTCAAGTTAGTGGGAGTTTTGTGAACCAGATTTTGTTCAAACTTCATAATTTACCTCAATATATTACACAAGCTTTATCTTATAATGACATAACAATAAATTTAACATATAAAGTTTATGATCGAAATAAGTGCAACCTGAATTTACAAAACCTTAAATATAACTCATTGCATCGTCTAGGGACGATAATATTGGCAAAGAGGCCTTATTGTCATGGCAGGTTGCATTGGCCTTAATTAGAATCTTTTGATGAAATTATAAATGTTATTGGAGATAACATCAGGCTTTTCTTGCTGTATGAAATGACCTACTTCTTCAAGTATGACCACATCCTTTAAGAGTGGTACATCCTTTTTCATCCCCCCTTGATGAATGTATTCCTTTACACCAGGCATATAGTATGTAAGGTCCAAGTCACCTACAATAAATTTCACGGGTACTTTCACCTTTGCTCCTGTCCATGCTGCTGTGAGTTCCCAATTTCTGGAACAAAAATGAAAAATGTTGTGATGGATGCGAGAGAGATTTATAAACTTATAATATTATACTCTCTTCGTTTCTACATAATTGACACATTTGACTTTTTTTTTTTCATTATTCATATACTAACTTTGACCATCTTATTACTAATGTATAAAAAATAAATTTTATCATGAAATATATTATAGTTAAATAGTTTATAAAATAAAGTTTAATAATATCTACTTTTTTTTATATTATTTACTACTCCTTTGGTTTTGTCATAATTGCAGCATTTTGACTTTTGCATCATTGACAAGCTTCCTTTGACTATGCTTTTTACTAATATATAAAAAAAAAAACATGTGTTGCTATCTAAACTATTTTTGAATGAGTCTTTATGCATATTTTCAGTATTTTAAAGTTATATTTTTTTAATAATATATATTTACAAATATTAATACTCAAAGTTCTGCATTGGCATGTATGCCTATCATAGTGTTCAGATTATTATGAAACAAAGGGGGTAGTATTTAATCATATATAACTAAGGTCAAACTCGTGCATTGACATGTATGTCAAGTTTGACTGTATCAATTATATTGAGACAGATGGAGTAAAAAATTGTAAAAAAAACAGGTAGATGTATATAAAATGCAAATAAACTAAGAAAATGTGTATGAGTAAAGAAATCTATATACTTACACTAAGTAGATTTTTCTTTTTTTTTAGGCAATTTTTCCTCCTAAATTTTACTTTTTTTTTTTTTCTTTTATAGGTTTTTACATAATTATTAATTTGCCTAGGAACTTTATAATTTAATTATTTATTTTTTATGCACATATTTCTAGACATTTTTATTTTATGAATTTCAATTAGCCTTAATTTTATAAAATATTTTTGATTTTCAATTACGTTTAAATTAATAAACCTAGTATGGCTCAGGAATATCTAGTCCGTTTACAAGTAGTACAAAAGATTTAAGATAAAAAAAAATATATGACAAAAAAAAAGGATTAAGATAAAAATAAATAAATATTAATTTATTTTACTCTTTAATAATTTAGATTTTTTATATACATATATAAATAAATAAAAAATGAAAAAAAAAAGGTTCACATTAGATTAGTTCAAAATTTTCAATTCAAAGTCAAATTTACCTAGTTTTTTGCAAAGGTATGGATTCTAGAACTCATACTAGCCTAAAGTTGTTTGGTTTAATGTTAAAATGGATTGTATTCTTCATTAAAAGAATTGATTGTGAATTTTAGGGGGGAGGGTGGGTTGTGATTCCATAGGTATGGGGTGAAGTTAGAATCCCTTAGTTATGAGATTTTATTAGTAAAAAACTCAACCAAACAAAAAAATAAATGGAATGGATTTTAACTCCATTCCAATTTATTCTAAATAATCCAACCAAACGAAACCTAAGATGTGTTGAAGTTTCTTCAAAAATGACATCACCAACACTACCAATTGCTTTATATAGGTAGGGCGTCAATTGACCCGATCTCTCAGGCTATCAGGTTCACGCGTTCACCCATGCTTTAGGGCGTCACGACCGCCGTTTCTTCCATATGCGCCCAGATCTTTTGGGGAAAATCTACCGAATCTCCCTCTGACTGAGTTCGACCCACCGAACTCCCCTGCTTCTCGAATTGCTCCAATCAACGTCGACGATCTCTTCGATACACTATCAGAAGGTGGAGATACTATTAGAGAAAGTTTCACAGATTATAATTGGGGCGAAAAAAGATGATTACTTACTCTGAACAGGTGGTCTTATAAGGGCGGTTTTGCTGTTTGGAGGCGAGATGCTACAGGGAATCGCACTTTCATTTCTAAAGCTATATCGGAGGAAGACATGGCGCGGCAGTGGGGTCTGAAAGTTGAATCGGATTTGATTTTAGAAAGATTAGATAAAGGTTATGTGACTCTAGAATGGTTTGAGGAATTTCCGAATGGTCGTATCATTCATGAACCTATCTTAGTCTCTGATCATGCTGCTATTCTCTATGATTCAGATCCAACTACCATCCGTTCTACTCGGCCATATCAACTTGAACTTTGGTGCTTGGGTTTTTCGGAGGTAAAGAATATTATTGATACGTAATGGAAAGTTACTAATGATCGTGGCTCTTATCCTTTTTGCTTGGTACGAAAACTTCGGAAAATTCGAAGTATGCTTCAAAATTGGTGTCATAACCACAAGAAATTGTGGGGTATAAATTGGAGAGAAATTTCGAAGGAGTTAGATGCTCTGGGAAATAATATTCTTCTCTCACTGATGCGCACAACTATGTTAATCGTGTAAATTCCTTTATTCCGAAATGCAAGTTGGAATTTCACTACTGGAGACAACAAGTGAAATGTGAGTGGATTAAGGAGGGTGATGTTCCTTCTAAGCGCCTTTTTAATAAGGTTAAACTACGCAAGGCAAGGAACCAGATTATTACTCTTCGTTCGGAGGATGATTTGTGGGTGGTGGGACAATACCAAGTCTCTAATCTCATTGTGAACTCTCTTAAACATGTCTTTATGCCGCTTATTGATTACGCCCAAGAGGATCATATTGATTTGTTACTACAACAATTACATTTTCCATCTCTTTCACCTTCACAAAGTGAGGTTTTATATCAACCTTTCGAATTTGCAGAAATTAAAGCGGCTATTTTTTATTTAAAAGGTTCAAAATCCCGAGGTCCCGATGGTTGCATTAACGAATTCTTTCACACAAATTGGGAAACAGTAGGATATATAGTTACCAAAAGTGTTCAACACTTTTTCAATACGGGTTTTCTTCTTCAGGAGTTAAACTCAACTCTGTTAATCATGATTCCTAAAATTGATACTCCGGAACTGGCTTCTCAGTTTAGGCCGATAAGTCTTTGCAATACTGTCGATAAGTGTATTGCTAAATGTCTTGTTCACGGTTAAAACTGGTTCTTCCTCTCTTGATTTCGAATTATCAACATGCCTTCATCCCGGGAAGGCATATGGAAGATAATACCTTCATGTCTTAAGAGTTAATGCATTTTATCAACTCTAGAACTCGTATGGCTCAGTTTGCGGCTATGAAAGTTGACATGTCAAAGGCTTATGATAGAGTAAATTGGTTATTTCTCCTCAAGGTCCTCTAGGCTTATGGGTTTCCTCCGGTTTGGATTCAATGGATCTCCCAATGTATCTCTACGGCTATCTTCAAAGCTCTTATCAATGAACAAACTTCGGGTTCTTTTACCTCATGTGGACTGCAACAAGGTGACCCTCTCTCCCCGTACTTATTTTTATTTTGTATGGATGTTTTATCTCGTATGTTACTTTTGGCTGAGGATATTAATTGTCTAAGAGGGATTAAAATCTCTAGAAGTTCTCCCTCAATTTCCCACCTATTTTTTTCGGATGCTGCTATGTTCTTCTGTAAATGTTCAGAGAAATCTTGAGGTATTATAGCAGATATTCTTGCAAGATTTGGGAAGACGTCTGGTCAACAAATTAATTTTGCTAAATCTTTCATCAAGTTTAGCCCTTCTGTGTCACCTAGGCTAGCAAATTCTTTAAATCTATCCTCCGAGTCCCCATTATTGATAACATGGGGAAGCACTTGGGAGTTCCTATCGACCTAACTGAAAGAAAGGCTTCCTTCTTTGTGGATCTAGTTTAATGAATTAAAAAGAATATTATTCCATGGGCAAAAACTGCAAACTTTCGGAAAGTGCCAAGCTCATACTCATAAACTCTGTCCTTTTGGGAATGGTGGCTCATGCTATGAATACTTGCAAGCTCCCGATGTCCATCTCTAATAAATCGGACTCCCTTTTCACTAGGTTCTGGTGGGCAAAAAATGGAGATAAAGGCATTCATTGGATAAATAGGAACCGAGTACAACTCCCTAAAGGAATGGGGGGTTTGGGAATATGCTCTACTAGCATTTTACAATGAGGCCTTGTTATTTAGAAACATTCTCAGAATGCATACCAATCCTCAACTACTTGCTGCTAGGGTTTTTAATGCAAAATCTGATTGTATCTTTTGTCCTCAAAGTGACTTAGCTTGCGAAACCTCCTCCGGCTTCCTTCTCTTGGGTTAGAAGGACTATGCACTCTCTAGCACTTAAAATGAGGAAGGGTTTTGAATGGAAGATTGGCTTTGGTAATAATGTCTTAGCCTTAAGCTCAAATTGGGTTAATAACAAAGTTCCATTTGTAAACTTAGACGAGAATCTCAAACAATGTGCATTATGGAGGGTCAATGATCTTATCACTCCTACTCGATCCTGGAATGTGGGCATTGTCAGAGAACATTTTGAGTGGGATAGTGCCCAGGAAATTTTAACTATCGATCTCACAAAGGAAGAGGAAGACTTCTTGTATTGGTAATGGCATAAAACAGGAACCTATACTGTTGAAACAAGATATGCTTTTTTAGCAAATCCTGAAGCAGAGGGAGAGTCCCCCCATAGGAAAGAAATCTTTGATTTTTACAAAATTATATGGCACCTGGAAATCCCCCCCCCCCCCCCCCCCAAATGGCGTATGTTCTTATGGAAACTTGCTGTCAATGGAATTCCTGTTAGAGCTAATCTTCGAGCTAGAGGAATTATCACTGATACTTTATGTGACTATTGTGGTGTAAAGGAGGACGGTTTTCACCTCCTTCTTGAGTGTTCTATAGCTCGGTATGCTTGGGACAACTACTAGATACCAAGCTGCAAAAAACCAACGGGCTCCACTTCTCTTCAGGATTGGGTTCGTAGCCATATCTTGTTTTTTAATAGTTAGGATGGAATCCGAAGTAATCGTATTCAGGCCTTTATGGCTACTTTGTGGGCTATATGGATTACAGGGAATAAGCATATTTTTCAAGGAGAAAATGGGTATTTAAGATGTTATTTTGGTAATCTTAAAGAGGCGGTTCTCCTATTACACGAATTTACTAAGTCAGATACTAGATTATAGGGATCAATATTTGCTACAGATTCCTCTAATATCCCCCCTCCGGGATTGTTGCAGGCTTCTTTAGGACAAATGAATCATGTCCTATTTTACAATGATTCTTTAGCTCTATGTACTAATCGAGTTGATGGATCATGGCATAAGGCTAGTAAACACTACGGGAATGGTGGACGATAGAGATGCGTAACCATGGGGAAAGGGAGGCTGGTGGGTATTCTGGAATTGCGGCCTCAGCTTTGCAAACTAAGTTTTGGGCTTGCCTTTATGCTTTAAGATGGGCCCGTGACAATGGTTATAGGTCAATAAAAATATTAACTGACTCTGCCTTACTTGTCACGTCACTTACGAACAAGGTACCCTCATATATTCACCTTTTCTAGACTTGGAAGGAGATTATTAAACTCGAAAGCACCTTTCGGCATTGCATCTTTCTCAAGGTCGACAGAGTGGAAGTTCATCTCTCTCATCGTATAGCTAATCTGTGTCGGGTTACATTAAATAGTTTCTCTAATCCTGCTGTTTTTGATGTTTTTTAGTTTTCCAATTTGGTAGTCTTCCTTTCTTTCTGCTATTGTCAAAAAGAAGAAGGATAAAAAAAAGTTTCTCCAAAAAAGATGTGTTAAAATTCGTAAACGTAGTCCTCAAAACTTAGCTAACCAAGGTAATTAAATGTAAGAGGGTGAGAAAGAGGAACATACAAATTTACAGCACGATAATAATTTAATCCTCCAGTGAAGCCAGTCTGTGTAAATTTGTGAACGTAATAGGCAGCTTCTTCTTCGGTCACAAAAGAAGGAAAAGGAGGCACATCTTTGAAAGCCTGTCCTTTGGGCAAAAACAAGGGCCCTGGGTTGCGATACGAAAAAAATTTCCTCAACAGTTTTTCAGCTCCACCAACTTCAGCAATCTCACTTTCAATTTCTCCGGGCACCTTTTCAATAATTTAACAGTGAGATCAATTTATGTTACGAAGTAATATATTATGAGATAATCACGTAAAGTGAAAGATAGATAACTAATAAAAATAAATGACAGTACATTTTAGAGTAGTGACAATTGAATTGGGTTGGGGATATAAGAGAGAGGTTATATCCTTTATTTTGATCTCATTTGATTAACAATATTTTTATTATACCTAAAGTCAATGCACACTCATTTTTTTATCATATAGTACCTAAGGTAAAATCACATTCTTGTTTTTTTCATTATCCAATGCAGAGATGTCAAAAACTTAGCTAATTAAAGAAACAGATCTGTAATAATGGAGTGAAACAGATGAACTATTACCCGACCTGAACCAACTCGATGTTAACAAACAACCTACGTATAAACTCAAACCTACATCCAATTTGATATTAACCGAAAATTGATTTAACCTAATTTAACGTAAAAATGATCTAAACTTGAATTGACACCTAAATAAATTGCAACTTAAAACCGTTAATTACCCGACACAACTTGTTATTGACTTGACCTATATGGTGACTTGTACCTCAATCTTATTTGACTCATCATTGTTAACTCGACTAGCCATTGACTAGATCCAATAAATACATAAAACTATAATTAACTTGGCCCATTTTTTAAATAAATCCTTAACAAGTTTAACTAATGATTTTGCATGAGTTTAATTTGATTACAATGTTGAGATGGTAGAGCTATTATATTACAAAGATTTTTATTTTAAGTTAATATATATTGATACATTTTGTTTGTATCAAGAATATGTTAATAAATTAAAAAAATAATGTATAATTAATAATGGTTTTAATTTTTGGTCAAAGTAGATTATGTGAATAATGCAAAAAAGTCAACATAGGGCTTTTAAATTAAAAGAGGGAGTACTCCTTGTACGCAATCATATAAGTACAACACCAAATTTATAATGTTTGGTCGAATTATGAAAAAGTGATATTAATCCAACTTCCACTTGACCCAAATCATCAAAGAATGACCAAACTTAAAGATTATACAACTCGGTAACTTTTTGACCCAAACCTAACCTGAATATAAATTTATCATCCATAAATCCCCCCCAAGCTTGACCTGATGCATCCCAAACCTAAAAATGAAACCGACTCGAATTTGATTGAAACGAAGCCGACTTGCAATCAAAAGAGTCAAGGACCTGACATAACCCATAGCGAAATTGACCTAACCTGAATTTGAAACTGATTTGGATGCTAAATGTACCTGACATGATCCGATCTGAATTTGATCTAAAACCTTAGTTGAAGCAACTTAAATACGACCTAAATTTGTGAATTTTCAGCTCTAATTAAATTGTACGTAGCATAATTCAAAGTAAATAACTTTTAATTTTTTTTCTCATTTTAAATGTTAAAGCCCAAATATAAAGTAAATTCTAGATAACATTTACTAATTTATTTTTCACGAATAGCAAGTGCGTGGCTAGGGCCAAAAGCTAGTTTTGTATAGTATCTCAATAGTTAGATAACTAGATTGCTATTTTCATTTTTTTTTTTTTTTTTTTTTATATTAGATTGCTATTTTCATTTTTTTTGACAACTAGATTGTTATTTTAATGGGTATTAAGTCAATAGAGGATGGGTTGGCTACAAATCTTTCCCCTTTTGCTAATGTTTTGTGTGTAGTAGTGCGTTTGGCCAAACTGATTTTCCTTTGAATTCAAATGGTCAGGTTAGAAAAGAAAAACAAAAGTAGAACTTTTCTCAAATAATAAATATCTAAAGTACTTTTGTAAATCGTTTAGTATCATTGTAAGCTTCAGTAATACTCCCTCCCTCCCTATTTTTTTGCTCTTTGCCATAATATGGGTCAAACTTAGAAAACTTTGACTATAAATTTCCGTCATTTTACTAAATGAAATATAGTCATGTGTGATCTTGTTTGGTTCGTCTCATTATAAATTTAATTAATATCAACTTTTTATAATTTTTACACGTATAAAAATGGAGATATAAACGTTTTAACACGTGTCTTAGAGACCGCGCACAGTCAAATGGGGCAAAAATAAAGGGATAGAGGGAGTAGTATTTTAAGTCCTAGCAATACAAAATTGTTATTCAATAGTACTAAGTTATTCCCCAATAGTAGATAGTAGATTTCATCCTATGCGTTAGCAAAAATTCGAATAAATTGTTTAATGCATCAACCTTCAGTGGTATTACTAAAGTGATAAAAATTTATTGCTCGTATAGATCTAGTATTCAGTGGCAGATCTAAAATAACCTGATTTTTCTTCTAGAAAATTTATTCTTTGCTTAATTAATAACTACAATTTCTTTTAATAATCTTAATTTTAGTAGTTGCGTTAATTTGGTATCAGAGTCATATGGTTAAGTTTAAGCCAAGTTGCTAATCAATCAATACATATATAATAACCTGAAAATCTAATAGAAATCTAGAGTTTCACCTGTCCTATTTTTTTTTGGTTTTGGGAAAAAAAAAAAAAAAATTCTTTTATACCCTAACGTTTAGTTATTATTCCCAAAAGACACTTTGTTCAAGCATTCCTCTGTAATTTCTTCTTCCCAAACAACGTTTCAATTCATCTGTAATTTCTCCTTTCATAAATTTATACAAAAACTAATTTTAACGCCATAAAAAGATGTTGATTCAAAACTCTATTTTTTCTTCTTCCCTTTTCTCACTCCTATACCATGATTCGATTTTTTTAGTTTTGAATTCAATATTAATTAACATATATAAATCCAATCAAAATTCTTTATTTTTACCACAATAAACAGTCAAATTCATCAAGTTTTATCATTGATTTTACTATCAAATTAAGGTTTCTGGGAAAGTAATCAATCGATAGCATAAAACAAAAATGGCAGAATTTTTGGTATTGTCATCATTGTCACCATTATCAGAGGTTAGAAAATTATGGAAGGAAAACAAAGGAGGTTGGAATGCTGCAAACTGCAATTAGTTTCATCTTCGTATGACAAATTTTCAACTTTGTTTTTCCAATTATCAGCATTTTCGTCAAGTAGCAACTCATGGTGGGTGTAAGCATGTTAATCTCAATTCCATAATTCAAATAGTTACTGTTTTTGTAAATTAAAAAATTAAGTATCATGTAAGATATATCAATCTACTGTTAGATATTATGGCATTCTAATCAATAGTTTGAAAAGGTGAAACCTGGGTTACTTAATGCCAATTACTGATGATTTTGTTGAGGAATTTGTCCGGGGGTATTTTGCATGTTTTTTTCACTTATTTGTAGTTTTGATCTAGGTTAAATATGAGTAGGATACAAGGATTACTCTGTAATTTTTTTTTTTTTTTTTTTTTTTTTGTTGTGAAACTTAATACTGTATGCAGTATCAGTTTGCATAATGTCAGTGGATGTGAGTTTGATATACGAAGTATCATTTGCTCAAAGTAAGAGTTTAGATTTCATCTCATGGTACATACTTTAAAGCAATTATATATTTATATGTTCTATGGACTTAGGGCCTATTCTGTGCAGTTTAATTTCATTTCAGTTCAACTCCAATCAGTTCAGTTCAGTTCAGTTACTAATTTCCTTCTTTCATAAACAATTTATTTCGGCTCTATTCAGTTCAGTTCAGTTCAGTTCAGTTGTTTTCAGTAAATCGGAACATGCCCTTATAGACTAAAAAGCGACCAATTGATTTAATTTTTTTTTTAAAACAGCAACTTATTCTTCTGTCTCAAAAATTAATTAATTAACAGGTTATGTCTTTTTCTTCTATTTTGTAAAATATTCGTAATTTGTTTACCTTATTGTTTCATAGTTCAGTAATCTTTGGTTGGTTTGATGGGTTATGATTGTTTATCAATAGGAGTTCTTTAGATTTAAAATGTATATGGGGAATATTGAATTTTACCTTTAATTTTCTTCTGTTTTTTGGTAATTGAAAATACATAGAAGATATAGACATGTAGTACATACAGTTTTATTGGCAATTAATTTTTCTAGAGTATAATTATAGGGGTTAAGTAAATTGTTTGATGGGTTGTTGCCACTTTTAGTATATTTATATTGGAATGATGACAGAAACAATTGATTGGGCTATAGATTAATTTTAGGTATATTTATAGGGGTTAAGTAACGAATTTGACTACATGGCTGCTGAGTGATGAGTAGAATGTGCCTGCACTTTTTATGAAGTGGAAGGGGAGTTTTATGCTAGAGATGATGGTAGTTTGAATGGATATGAATGGATGAGTATGAAGTGGTATCACTGGCATGTATTTCAATAATCAGTTTCTAACAGCTAAGGAAGGTGACATATTCCTCTGCTTTTTTTTTTTTGGGGGGGGGGGGGATTACTATGTCACAATTTGTATTTTCACACTTTTCTTTTCCTTAAATTCCATCACAGATCTCCCTATATGCAATTGAGCAAGCCTTCAATAAAAAATACGTAGTACTAAAAAAAAATTTAACAATCATTATAACCGTGCATTATACGGACTAAATACAAGTTAAATTAATAATTAAATAAAACTGGAGAATATTAAGTCTTCTACTTACTGTAAGAAACCTGATTTTTAGCTCTATTTATCATATTCCTAAAAATACTAGAAATTTTTATCCAATCCTTAATTATATAATAGATCAAATTGGTGAATTAAAATTAGAGGTTGACAACACATATACTCGTTGTATTAATATTGAAAACACGATATCAACAACCACAACCGATATTAATAAAAAAAAGTAAGTGAGCTAAAAGAACAAATTATGCAAGTACAACTTGGTTTAACAAACGAAATTAGATATCAGTCTAATACAGAAGTATCAACTAATAAGGAAAAACTCATCTATTATAAATGTAATTACCTTTTTCCATAATTTAGATAAAAATAAGAAGTTAATCGTATCACTCCCTAAAAGACCCAATAGTGAAAAGGAAAAGAACAAAGTTATTAAAAATGAGCCATCATCTCCAAGAGAAAACGCTTGAAGAA